ACACACACACACACACACACACACACACACACATTACATATGTACATATACACACATATAAATGTATGTTGTATCTATCTAACTCCTCTGAGTAGGTGTGTGTGTGTGTGTGTGTGTGTGTGTGTATGTGTATGTGTGTGCGCGCGCGCGCGCGCGCGCGCGCGCGTGTGTGTGTGTGTGTGTGTGTGTGTGTGTGTGTGCGCTACGCAGTTCGGGGTTTTTGTTTTCTTTCAACGTGAGGATTAGTGTTTTTTTCCTTTTGAAACCTCTCCACCCCACCCTCCTCCCCCTCCCCCTAAAAGAAGTCGATTACAACTTGGCAATTTCACTCGCTGGATAAATCATGATCTACCACAATAACTCGCGTAATAAATTATTTTTACATGGCTGTTTTTAATTTTTTTTTTAAAAACAGATAGTTTCTTCTTAGACAAATTTAATAAAATTGCCAAGTTGTATTCTTTACCCGAGTCCTTTTGCCATTGCCATCAGAAATATCAGGAAAAGACTTTGTGCATCATGGAAGTAGAAAATTAACTTAAAATAAGAAGTCATCAGCCTGATGATTGAATTTTAATGAAATTGAGTCAAAGTCGAAAATGATCTTCAAGAGTTCTTCAAATAGACCAATTTTGTATCGTATATTTCTAAAATGGGGGGGGGGGGGGGGATGATTGATACCTCAACATTCTACGAGTACGCCGATTTATATTAAGTATTTGGAAATGCTGTTGCTAAAGACATTAGACAATATTATCATAATTTTATTCAAAGCTGCGCTGATATGTGACTATTTTTATCTTTCGAAAACATTTTAAACTAGAAAAAGAACAGAGAGAAAAACAGAAGAATAACACTAACAGCAGTTCGCTACCTTAGAATGACTAAGTTCGATCTGCTCAGTACCTAGATCTAATATGGGGAATTAAAAAAAAAAAACGGAGTTTCAAAACATGTCAATTTTTTAATTTTTAAAAAGCAATTCTTCAAATAATGTTACAGTTTTGATAGAGCAGATAGAACATTAAAACTTGGTTGCTGACCACGTGGTCTCAGTAACCCAAAAAAGCCAAAAAATGATAGATAGAACTTTGTGATTAAATGTTTCTAAACACGATATTTTGGGATTGTGTGCATTTGTTTTTGTTTGTTTGTTTGTTTGTTTGTTTATTGGGGGGGGGGGGGTGCAGGTTAACTACTCTAGCATTTTAGAAGTGTTCTGTCTATGAATCAGAAGTATCCGTATCAGACTACTTGAGGGTTTCTTGAGTCATCTCATGTATGGTTACACAATTATAATTTACTATCTTGCAATATTTATTTTGCTGTCTCCCTGTTCGCCGAGTAATGGGACGCCAACTTGAGTTGAAGATACTAGATGAAGGGTATCACTCAGGCACAGAGAGTCTTGAGTTACAAGGGGTGGTTGGCGGGTGCTCTGGTGTGGTTTGCTTCTTCTTTCCTATCAAATGTCTGTCGTCTTTATCTCCCCTACTTCTTTTTGTGTTTGTTATTCTCTTGAAACACCTCTAATCTTCGGCACTTATATGACCTTATTGTGTTGCAAGTGCCGTAAAACACTTAAGGCCTACTAATACTAAACTCGATAAGTTATATAACAGTATTACAATAATGTCTCATGATATCACTGTGTCGCATCAGTGATGTCAACAAAGAGTTGGATCTACGGGCTGATTTGGATGCTTCGTCTGCATTTAAGCCTACTACTAGTAAAAAAAAATGTAGTACCGGTAACCAAAGTTATTAACAAAATTGTTATGTTCCGGCTTTCTGTACATTGTTGAACAGCCCGAATATTTTGTTGCCACCTTTTCCTTGACTCTTCGTGTGTGTCCTTACAATGCTAAGATACCAATTCCTTTACATGTTGTACTTGTCTTTGAATCTGATGATCATAGGGCCTACTGATTATTTACACATGGATGATGACAACCTCTCTCTCTCTCTCTCTCTCTCTCTCTCTCTCTCTCTCTCTCTCTCTCTCCCTCTCTCTCTCCCCCCCCCTCTCTCTCTCTCTCTCTCTCTCTCTCTCTCTCTCTCTCTCCCCCTCTCTCTCTCTCTTTCTGCATTTCTCAACCTGGTTTCATTGTTACCAAAACGTCACGAGTTCTTGCTAAGTGACAAATTGGTTGAAGACGAGAACAGAATAACATGGATTAAAATTATATGAATTATTGCCTTGATTGATGAGAACACACAAACACACACACACATACACACACACACACACACACATACACACGCGCGCGCACACGCATTCGCACTCACACACACTCACACACACACACACTGCGCATACACATTAACACACACACACACACACACACACACATTAACACTCACACACACATACACGCTCGACACCCGGTTGGTAAGAGGAAGATGGAGAGGGAGGGAAAGAGGGTGGCAGGAGACTAGAGAGAGAGAGAGAGAGAGAGAGAGAGAGAGAGAGAGAGAGAGAGAGTAATATTCAGTTATTTGGTTAGCTTTGTGTAGGCCTAGGTGTAGGCAGAGCAGACCAGGGCCAGAGGCCAAAAACCAGGCTGGAAACTGGAAACAACTTAACAAGAGGTGAAAAAAAAGCGCCAAGCGTCTCGTCTGCTGAACTGAAAAGGTTTTGTGAAGTTTGAAGGCGAGCTTGGCCCTGGCAAGCAAGAATCTTGTTCCGCAAGTCTTTCTAATCATCCAGTCGCCAGTCTTTCTCGTCTCGACACCGGCAGACACAGACGTGTTGACAGTTGACAGTGTTGTGTCTCTACTCAACGTCCCACCGTTGTAAAATTGCCTCATCAGTAAGTTTACCTTAGGCCTAGATAATGATCATGTTGTCCAATATCTAGATTCTAGAGTCTAGATCTAGATCTAGATCTAGATCTAGATTCTAGATCTAGATTTCTTGATTCTCTCGACACTGAGCGGGGTGTGGGACCAGCTAGGCCTACCGGCCGGACCATTCGTTGTTTACACACTGATGATGCTGGCCTCTCTGCACACAATAAATTATTTATCATAGAGGTCTAGATCTAGATCTAGATCTAGATTAGTTCAAGGAACAGAGAGCGTTAGGAACGTAAAAAGGCACGAGGACAAGACCTATGCTCTTGCACGCACGACAGTTGAAGGGTTGTAAATTGGCCGTCGTTATTCGGACTCGAGTCCGAATAACACTTTTTCATATTCGGACTCGAGTCCGAATAAAAAAAATTATTATTCGGACTCGAGTCCGAATATGAAAAAATGTTATTCGGACTCGGGTCCGGAAAAAAGGAAGTGTCTTCGTTCTATGGATCTAACGTTCAGTGCTTCCAATTTTCCGCCATTTTTTAGTTTCCCTCACACCTTATCTGCCGATCCAATGCCCGCCGCCTCATTGATACGCCCCCCCCCCCCACGTTTCCTACTTTCTTTGTTGTAGAAAAAAGGTAAAATTGAAGATTAGCAGACCACCTGGCACCTGCATATTATGAGCTGTGTAAAAGAATAAAGACCATTCGTTCAAATACACAAGCCTGTGTCATTCGATTGTTTACCAAGAAAAAAGTTGTGTTGCTGTGTAGAGCTGAGCATACGGCAACTTTTGATTCCATAGACCAGCGCACAATTCATTACGTAGATCTACGCCAAGACTATCTTATTATTGTAATAATGATCAGTTGCCGGGGGGAAAAAGACTGACGCGTATGCGACGTTCAAAGCCCGGACCGATAGTGCCCCCCCCCCCACCACCCTCCCCGACACGCACACAGCCACACGTGTGCAGGCCGCCCATCCGACCCCGACACACGCTAACAAGCCATCTTTAATTGCTTCTGATGACCTCTTGACAAATAAACATTTATTAGAAGAGCTATAATTTTTCAGGCCGGCCTCAAATTCATCATAAGATTAAAACTCGGCTCCTGCACAAAACGCCTTTTTGCCCGAAGTGATCCAGGTCTCTACTCAGCCTGAGGCGAGTCACGAGTGAGGCAGGACAGGAAGCCGGATTCACGAGTCACAGGAAGTCGGAAGTGATGTCATGCTGGACAAGAATCAGAGTCCGAATAACATTTTTTCATATTCGGACTCGAGTCCGAATAATCACTTCGTTGTAAATTATTGAGACCAAATGGGCGAGGGTGTTAAATTGTGTGGGGAAAAAATTACGTTATAGCTCAATTAAGTAAGCTAATTTGATCGTCTTCAAAGATGCTATGGCTATTTCATTGTTCGAATCGAGCCGAACTACGCGGGTCGCCATTTTGTTTTGCCCGAAAGTTCTCGCAAGATCTACTCCTCCCCTCTCTCTCTCTCTCTGTCTCTTTCTGAATACTGTCTATCGGTGAGGACGATCAAATTGACCGAAACAAAGTTAAAAAATGATGTTAAAACACAAAAGTAAATTAATTTGGTTGTCTACAAAGATGCTACGGCTATTTAACTTTTCGAATCGAGCCGAACTACGCGGGTCGCCATTTTGTTTTGACCGGAAGTTCTCGCGCTACTCCTCTCTCTCTCTCTCTTTCTCTCTCTCTCTCTCCACTGCCCACAGACAAAATTGTACGCTTTTAGTAGGCTACAGTTGTAATGGAACGTTTGTTCACGGCACAGAATTCTACAATTTTTCTGTTATCACAGTGTAGCCGGGGTGAGAATAGTGCAGGCGAGTCTTTTGGCTATTCTCACCCGGTGCGCGTTCACCGTTATAGCCTAGATCTAGGCCAACAAATTTTGCGTTCACCCTAAACCACAGAATTCTACACTGTGATAGCCGTACCTTAAGGCTAGCCGGCTAGGCTAGCTGTACTTTTAGGACGGCTAGACTAGCCGTACTTTTAGGACGGCTAGGCTAGCCGTACTTTTAGGACGGCTAGACAATCAGGCTAGCCGTATTTATTATTGATGGCTGAATTGTAAATGAAATTTTTAGTTTGTAATGCTTAAAATATTTGATCAGACAAAACCAAAAGGTGCCTTACTGACTTGCATGTATTTTAAACCTGAATAATTACTAGATCTAGATCTAGATCTAATGAGACCTGTGTACTCAACAGTTGTTGTTTTTTTTTATAGTAGAAGGTTTTACGGCTCTCGCAACTGCATAAGGTCATATGAGCGCCAAGGGGTGGGTGTCAACAGAGAAGTCTTTACAGGGAATCGGACTTATTCTGCTCCCCTCTCTAGCTTCAACCGCACAAGGTCTGCTTCGACTATCAAGGCACCCCGGAAATAGCAGGTCACAAGAGAGTGACAAACATACAGAGCTGGTAGTAACGGAGTACAAGTACTCCGGTACTTGTACTTACGTTACAATTTTCGGTACTTTTACTGTACTCCGGTACATTTTTTAAACCAGTACTTTTACTGTACTCCGATACTTTTTATAAAAGTACTTTTGAGTACTTTTTAAGTACATTTTGAGTACTTTGGTAGCTTAATGAAAGGGTAAGTGCAGGCATTTCAGATCATAATTTACGGAACAAAAACCCGATCAACCGCCAAGAGTTAAAAGTTGAGATCAAAGAACGGCCCGTCGCCTCAAAGATCAGCCACTATCGTGAATGTGATCACAAGCGTTGTAAAACTCCTTGAAACGGTACAGTGTTTGCCCCAGACGGGATCACACCAAGGTGTGAACTGACCGATGCGTTTCTTTTCCCCAAACATCACACTCGCATCTGACCTCACCACCTAAACTTACATCACTCCCTGGCTGGGTATGGCCTACAAGTTCGCTCCAGGCGGGATCACATCAAACTGTGAACTCTTCCCTGACCATTGAAAGCAGTTTTTCCTGAATTTGCGAGACAACCTGAATTTTAATTAGTGTGGTCACATCGTAATGGCGCGTAACGACAAAGGAGGTTGGGGGGGGGGGGGGGGGACTCAATCAGAGATGGAAAGCTAAAATTGTTGGACAGGTAAAGGAGAGGGGCAACTGGATAAACATAGATAAAGATCTCAAGACTCACGATAGGCTAATGAGTGTGTATATATAATATTATTTATGGCATGCCTCATGCCACTGTAATTGGTCATCAGGTCGACCACTCTTTGCTTGCCATATGTCATAAATCCACCCAGGGGTCACGTCAGTTCATGGGTCACTGTAGATTCTTCCTTGGCTTCGTTGGCTAAGATCCTAGGCTTTCTCAGTCTGAGAAAGCCTAGCTAAGATCCCATATTTTCCTTGCTTCCGAGCACTGGGATCTTAGGCGGAGACTACTGCAGTAGAGAATCTTTGGTTACACTACACTTACTAGACTCTAGGAAACTATTGTATTTTGGTTTGCCGTTGGCGCCGTGGACTACACAGTGTGACCAAAATCTGTCAGACCACTATAATCAATTGAAACTGAAACTGTGTTCTCAATGTGTATCTAACAATTTTTAGGCTGCCTAAATTTCTTTTAAACTCTTTTGGGTGGTTTTTGCTTAAGGCTACATTGATTCCTTGAGGATTTGTTAATGAAGAATTCAATGCACTTTTCCATTTCTATGCGGGTCATTTTCATCAATTTTATGTTTTCTTAAGAGCAACTTTCTTTCTACATTTTTCAATTTGGATACTCTTTCTGTAGAACTTTCCGACCTCTTGGACAGACTTACATTTGATCACATTGTCTTGCTCAAACATTTTCTATTCATAATATCACTTACCCACTAGTTGCGTCTGTTCGTTTGGGTTGTTTTTTGTTAAATTTCACCGACCATTTCCACCGTTCAGTGCGTACATTGTATATTCAAATGCTTTGTATACTGTTTATATTTTTAGTAATAAATAGCCTAATTTGTCAAATATACTGGATAAGTTATAAAATATGATGTTTTGCTTAAGCGCTGAAGTGTTTTAGCATATTAGCAGAAAGTACTCAAAATGTACTCATAAGTACTTTTTAAAAAAGTACTTGTACTCAAGTACATTTTATAGGAAAGTACTTTTACTGTACTTAAGTACATTTTTTAGATTGTACTTAAATTTGTACTTCAGTACTTTTTAAAAAGTACTTTAACAGCTCTGCAAACATACAAAAGAAGTTGAGGAAAAATGACGATAGTAAGGATTAGGAAAGAAAAAGCAGCAGTTCCCTGTTGTAGATCAGGCACAAGTTATGAGCGTGACATGAATCAGCCCATTTACACTTCTACTGTGCTTGAATGAGAAATGTCCCCCCCCTTTGGGAATGGCCTAAAGACACTACAGTCAGTGGCACTACCCCGGGGGGCTCAACAGGTTTAAGTGGATAGGGCCAAACCTAGGTCTAAGTACAGCTAGACTGGCAGTCTAGCCGTACTTAAGTAAGGCTAGACTCTCAGGCTAGCCGTTTAAAATCGGCTAACCACTTCGATAATTTAAAGCAATCCAAGCTCTTTTCTTTATTTTCATTTTTTCTTCTTTTCTTCTTTCTTCTTTTTTTTTTCTTGCCTCTTCTGTCCCCTTCTTCTTGAACATTTGGAGTTTGGAGCTAAAAAAAGAGCCAGAGAACCAAATGAAATTCTCCAGGCCAGAAGACGCGATTTCTGGGATTTGGCTCCAACTTGACAACCCTGACTGTGAATAGATCTAGATCTGTCTATTCGGACACCAACACGATCCTGTGGAGCATCAGCCCCGGTAATCTCAGCCCTGTTCCCTTTTGGGTCATTCCGGTAAAACAAGGGAGGGGGTAAGAATAGTGAGACGAGACATAGGTTATTCTCACCAATAAAGAAGAGACCTTACCCTGACCCTAACCCTACCCCTACCCTTGCCTCTACCCCTACCCTTATTTTATCCCTATCCCTACCCTTACCCGTACTCTTACCCCCACCTCAAACCTTAACCCCTATTTCCGAGATCTGGAATCTAGATCTGTATAGGGATCTACTCCTAGGCTCAATTCTTATTACTGTCTTACTCCTGTCATTTAGCCACACCCCTGATCTTATCTAGATCTATCTAGATCTATAGCCAGCTCGAATAGGAGCAAAAAATCTTGGAGGTCTCGTGTGCGAATTGGGCACACATTAAAAAGACCCTTTCAACGTGGTACTAAAATCGATACTAGATACATCATGTAGTAGATTAGTGTAGGCTACAATGTAAGCTTCGGCCGCCACCCTGGCAAAATTCAAACATGCTCATATGACCTAATTCAATATTTTAAGAGTGCAGTAATACACTTACCAAAAAAAAACCCATGCACGAATTATGCACGCACGCACACAGACACACCCACACACACACATGCAGTTGCGAGTGCAGTAAAACACTTACCAAAAAAAAACAACCACACACACACACGCAAGCACACACGCATGCATGCACACAAAGAGAGACAGACGCTTTCAAACACACACACACACACACACACACACACACACACACACACACACACACACACACACACACACACACACACACACACACACACACACACACACACACACACACACACACTCACACACACACACACACATACAAACACACTCACACACTCACACCATATCTAGATCTGTAGTATAGCCTAGTCAAAATGAGTCGGAGGCAGTTGCAGTGGGTGGTTCTAAATGTGGGTGGGGCTGAGATATGAGGGTAGGTACCGTTGAGTTCAAAGGATTTCCTTGGTTCAGAGGACATTTTATGTGTTTATATGTTTCATTCACACACTCACACGCAAACGTGCTCATATGACCTTATGCAGTTCCGAGCACCGTAAAACACTTCTTGCCAACAAAAAAAAATTAAACATGCAAACGCACACATACAATAGTAACTGGATTAGGCCGTGGGGTTGCAGAAAGCAAAGCATTCCTAAAACGTGGGCTCATGAGCGTGTTTTGGTTACTGGGTCTCTGAAGAAAGTGTGTCATGAACTTTACCCCCATTGTCTGGGCTGGCACAGGACAAGCCCTGTCTAAGAACAGTTTCCACAGGCTCTCGCTTGCTTTTTTAAACTTTTTTTCAAGAAGAGTTTCATTAAGCCTAGTGGTTAGGCTACCTGACTCGTAATCGTGAGATTGCGGGTTTGGGGGTTCGAGCCACGGGCCCGACGTTGTGTCCTTGGGAAAGGCACTTGACACAAATTTTCCTCACTTTACCCAGTGAAAATTTGTTCCCAGCTATAGACAGTGAAAGATCTTGTCAGTTTGTTAGTGTTTGCGGGCTTAATTAACCCGCTGCTTGCATTGTATGCTTCCCGGGAAGCTGAAAATGTTTCTGAGTGTTCTGTGGTCTGCTGGGGTATTAATAAAATAATATAGTGTAAAGCGCATAGAGCTTGCTTTCGAGTGGAGACATGCCATGCGCTATACAAATGCTTTTTATTATTTATTATTATTATTATTAAGAAACGACGGTGGGAATGGGCTCATTCTTTGCTGAGCCCTAAACACATTTGATTGGCTGTTAGGTTACTATCGTTGTAAGCGGTGACTACAGTGACTGGATAAACGAGCAAGTGTGTGTGTTCACCGCGTGCAACTAAAGGCGGAGGCGGAAGATTCTGAAACAGTTCTAACGGTTTCAACTGATTATCTCGTTTATTAGAAGAAATATTCATTTACGGAGGGAAAGAGTTGGAAGGTGGGTGGGGCTCATGATTCCTTTAGCCCTTCACTACGCCCCGCCACTGGTGGGAGGAAAAAAGGGACAGAACTTAATTGGACTTATATTTCTTTCTAGAGTTGAACTCTTTATTAGCTGCACTAGAACTAGAATCTAGATCTAGATTTATATATATAGGCCCTTTCTAGTTTTAATTTCTTCCAGGTTTTTTAAAATGAATTATTGTTGTAAAAATATAGATCTAGATTTAAATGGATTTATTAGGTTCTGCTCAAAGATTTAATATTTTATATCATGTGTTCACTTTCCTTCAGAAAATGTTTTTAAAGATGTTTGTAAGATGAGTTGAAGGTCTTCAATAATTTATGATCTGTTTTGTTTTTTATCCAGTGGGAAAATACCAGCTCATCTACTTTAATGTGCGAGGTAAGTGTACATACTTTTTAGAATCTATTCTAATATAATTGTAAGAAGTTTTATCTGTTACAAGAAAGTTGAATCTTGAATTTTGATTCGCCACAAAAGATTTCTAGTTCTAGAATCTATGTGCTGCAATGACTTGACTTTTCATTTCCATAGAATTACAAAGTTGTATCTGCTCTGCGGGCCTGCCGTACCTAGTTTTGAGAAATTTGACGTCAAAGATTTTACGTTTCACAATATGTCAAGCTTTTTCTATTGCAATTCTTCGAATATCTTGATGCCTATAATGCCTCCAAATAATCTTAAGATTTTGTAGAGCAATATACTTTGGAAATCTGTTTTGTTTTTGTAGGTTACTTGATTTGAATATATTAGGCCTACACATGTATGTTGGAAATCTTATTTTCTTTTCATATCCATACTTTTGTAATATGTGAGGCAGCGTGGTGGAATCAGGCTCTCGTTAATTTTGGGGCATGTAGAGTTTTTGGGTATCATCTTAAAGCTTGTTCACTTGTCTTTATTTGGATGAAAAAAATGTCCATTTGTCTTGAATACAAGTCGAGATATTTGCGAAAGAAGGAGGTGGGGGTCATCTGTTTTCAGAGGTAAAATTAGTGAGAAAAGGACCGCCACAAAGATGAGTTATTTCCTTAGCTTAAGAGTAACTGAAAATTTACATTTTTTGTGCCTTTAATCAACGTTTTTCAGAGAAATCCACACAGAAATGAGTACTTTAACTTTAATGGGCATGAAAGGTGTTGAGCATAAAAACAAAAATTTGATACAAATTAACAAACCTGGGGAAAATGCAAGTTTCTTCAATTTGATTATTTTGACGAGAGCCTGATTCGACTACGCTGCCTCACATATTTTATTATAGGTAGGTTATGTGGGGTTTTTTTTCAGTAGACCTACAGGCCTACATTATATTTTTTCCTGTAGAGTACGCAAGAGTGTATGACTGATTTTTTTGTTTTTTACTATGGCTCATAGTTGTCAAGTTAAAGGTATACCATACATATTATAAATTCAATTATCATATTAACATTTCTACTACTACAATCTTACAGGTAGGGGTGAAGCCACCAGATATCTTTTTAAAGACAATGGAATTGATTACGATGAGGTCAACTGCAGAGAAAACTGGGCAAAGGAGTGGAAGTCACAGATGGTTGGTTACTGATTTTTTATTTTAAAATTTTTTGGTTTTGTTTGTTGAGGCAGGTGAAATGTGTTAATCAGACTCTTTTTCAAATCGGGTATTTAATCTTTTCTGAATAGGTATCTTTGAACAGTCATTGGGAGAAATCATGTTTCTTTGTTAGGGGTGTGCGTGTGCTCAAGTCCACTCAAGTACATGTAGCCCCTGAAATGCTTGAGTACTTTTTAAATCCTCAAGTACTTGCTCAAATCCTATACTGCTGAGTGCTCAAGTAATGACTTAAGTATCAGTAGGCCTACTTACTTTTTTCACCCAGTGGTATTCAATAGAAACAAAGACTGCTATTTTCATCATTTTCTCATTTTTCTTTATATTATATACTATTCTAACCATCTCAGAAATTTTAATTAAAATATTTTTTGTTTGTTGTTTTTACTGTTTTTAATTATACATATCATGACATAGTAGAATGAGGCGCTCGTTAACTTTTGGACTTGTCTGTCGAGTTATTGATATTATCATAAAACTTTTTCATTTGTCTTACTTTTGATAATAAGAGTACCCATTTATCTTGAAAAGAAAAAAAGTGGACAGATTTGTAATTGAAGGAGGTTGGGGTCGCATGGTGTCAGAGGTAAAGTTAGTGAGAAAATGGCCACCGAAGTTTGGTGACTTCCAAAACTTGAGAGTTATTGGAAACTGCAAATTTACACCTTTTTTAGTGCTTTTGATCTTGTAAATGTTTTTAAGAAAAATCCACTCTGAAATGCTTTTAAATGGATATAAAAGTGTTGAGCTAAAAAGAAATAATTAATAAAGTGGATAAAATTTGCACAATGGGCAAAAAAATGTTGGTTTCTTTAATTTAATTATTTTGATTAGTATGACGAGTTCCTAATGTTACCACAATGCTACATATATTTCTCTTTTCTGTTTTTGTGTTATTGTTATTGTTAATTTCAGGGTGATAAAAAAACAACGGTACAACTTTTTTTCTAAATATCTGGCACAAACTTTGTACTAGAATATTGTAATTTGGAACAGATATAATAATTCATTCAAAAGGAATTTATTTGACATAAAATTCACAAAGAAGAAACTTATTTTCGAAAACGGAAATGGCTTTTACTTTAATAAAAAACACCTATGAATGCAAAATGTACCTATTTAAAAGATTTTGTAAGGAAAGTCATGAATTGATTGGTTTTGTTTTTTTCTTTCCTTTTATTTTTTAAGTCTGATCTTTCCATCCCTGTAACCTGTAAATAATATTCTCCTATAGAGTTAAAAAAATATTTTTTGAATTCTGAAATTCCGAGAACCAATAGTCTATGTCCTCCTTTGGACTCGATACATTTTAACACGCCGTTCGTAATGTTCAGTGGTGGCCAAACACAAGGATCCACTCAACCGTGAGTACTCAAAGCCACCCACACTGTACACCTTTTAGTTGTTGCCCAAATAGACAGCATTTGTAGAGTTGATATAACCTGAAAGGTGAATTTATAAGTTTTGCTAAGGAACCAAATGTCATAGAGGAAATGTTCATGCTTTTCAAGACGATCAAGGAATCATGAGCACATTGCTATTCCCTGATAGCTTTGCAAACAGGAAAATGGTATTGTCGCAGATGAAGATCTGCCTTGAGAATGCGGACTGTTGAGATGAAGGAAAGACATTGCTGCAGACATTGTTTATGGACAGACACTCATGGGGCTCATCTACTGAATTCTGCACCCTGGTGACGTGTTTGTTTGACCTGAAGTTGTCGTTTTGTCTGGGAATTTTTAGGTCTGATTCTCTACAGGTCCTAACTAATGGACCACTTCCACCCTTGACATCAAAGAAGGCCTTAAGGGCACTTTAACATATTTCGGTACCTTGTTCAAAACTTATGAAATGAGTTGGTTTTGAGGAAATGTTCAATACAAAAAGCTTTCTGCTCTTTACTTATCTTAACCACGATCTCAGCAGGCAAAGGAAACTTGAAAAAAACTATCTGCAAAGGAGCTGTTGGCATGTTAGACCACTGTAGTTTGCAATATGGCGCAATTGTTGGAATTTTTAGTGGTAGGCCTAATGGGAACTAGTGCGCCGTGCTACAAAAATGGGGACATAGCTGAAAATGGGTTGTTTTTTTACCCGCTATGTAGAGCAATACTATTCTGTGGATTTATCTAAAATGAATATCAGACAAGCAAATTCCTTTTGACTTCCAAATGTTGTGAACAAATTTGAAACGCAAAACTTCAGTGTGAAGGAAAATATTAACAAAAAAAGTTGTACAGTTTTTTTTGTATCGCCCTGTATAATTATTGTGAGTAGCACAATATGCAATTCAAATTTAACAAGGATCAAAAGATATATATAGGTACATAATTATGTAGGGAAAGAAAGGAGGGGTGAGGGTGGTTAAACTTAGCTTTGGCATCAATAAATAACACGTTGAGCCTGTGCTCAGGATTTGAGTAGGCTTATATACTAAAGTACTCACTTGAATATTTAACAATTAATGGGACTTGAGTTGAAAATGCTGGACTTGCACACCCGTAATTCTTTGTTGTTTATTCTTCTCAAGTTATGTTTTATTTATCACTGTAGAAATAGGACATACACAAGCTTTGACATTAGGCAAAATGGAAAGTCAAAATTGTAAGAGATAACTTTTTATTCATCGTACATTTATCTATACTGAATTTACCTAGTAACAGTTTATTATAGTTTATAACTATTACAAAATGCATTGTATTTGAAGGTAAAATTTGTCTTAAGCACTACAGTTCTGCCATTCTAAAAGTCATTTTCTAGAAAATATAAAAGTAGCATAAAACCAGTCATATTTAGCCATCTTTCTCTGGTAGTTTGTTCTTATTGAACTTCAAAAAGTTAAAAAATAAATGGAAATACACTGTATTGTTTTGTCTTATCAATTTTTGGGTACAGCAGCAAGATACAAGATGCTAAACCTTTTTCATATCACAGAGAGTTCATTGCAGTATTTTTAGATATGTTATTATCAGTTTATACCTACTTCAGGAACTTAACACATGTCAAATTGTCTTTAAAACACAGGCCTTTGGCCAAACGCCGTGCTTGAAAGACAACGACTTGAGCCTTGTACAGTCTAATGCCATTCTCAGATATCTGGGCCGTAAGCATGGTAAGTGAACTGTCCCCGGGACTTTCCATTACTTTCTGGTGTCTGCGTTTTAAATGTTAAGTTAGGCTTTTCAGCATACACACAAAAGATATGAGTCTGATTCCCATCTGGCAAAGATATTTTTTTGGGGGGTATCTTCGTCTTTCTGCTGAGATATATAAGAATCTCACTGCCTGGGTTCGCCATTATAGGCAGGGTTGAAAAAAGGATCTAAATTGTGTTGATGGAGGCGCAACTTGTTTTCAAAAACTGTTTACCTTATGGACTGTCACTGTTGTATTGATTGCCTTCCTGATTGTCTCAAGATGTGTGACCTGGTCTGAGAAGGCTAGATCTAGGTGTAGATCTTTCCTACCAGAAGATCAGGGTGTGGCTGAAAGACAGCAGTAAGAAGAAACCAAGGAGTAGTAGTATGGTGCTCTGAGAAAACTGTGTGTCCATTTGTTTTTCTTCTTTTTGTTCTGTCCACTTGATCTCAGAGTTAGTTTTCTTAACAAGGTCTTATCTCAATGTCTAGTTATTTTAAAATGTTCCATTATTTGGATGCAGCTCAATAGTTTGGTAATTCAATGGTTCTGTTGGTTCCCACACCCACACTGCACAAGCAAGTGCTGGATGGCCTGTGTTGTCTAAAGTTTGCAGAGACCCCTTAACTTTTTTTTGGTTTGAAATAAGATTATTCATTTGAACCTGCCTTTAGAAAAGCCTGTCATAATGGCAACCCCCCCCAACCACTCCTTTTGTAATTACCTCTATAAAACAAAAACCTGCTCAACCTGAAAACGGGAAGAGAACTTCCTTCTATTCGGAGGCTTTTGACCTGTCTAAGACAAGAATTCTAGAAGTACATTTCCGGCTCAACCCTAATTTGTAACAAAACTCCCAAATTTGGTTCCGCAGACTCTAATCTTAACGCTCCGCTGCCAAGTGAGAGTTTGGGGAAAGGGGTGTAATTTGAGGGTAGTTGTTACCCCACCAATGTGAACCCTGTGTGGTGCAGTTGATCAGGATGATGTGGGTGTGAAATCTCAACACTGCTTGTGAAAGTACTCAAGTGGTGCTCCAGCATAATTTTCCCTTGTGAAATTCATTTGACCAATGTCTACTGGGGCCAGCCAACAAAAAAAGTCCCTCTAATCGATGTTACACTCAGGGGAGGGGTAGTATTGGGTGCTTGTGCTTATAATTACGTTAATGGATGGGGCTTAGAGTGGGAACAGGGGAGACGTTTAACCGTTTCTGTTTTTAATTGGTCAAACAGTCAATGAGATGCAAACATTTGGGATAATTGATAAGTAAGACTGACGCATACCCATATAGGCTAGGATAGCACTTTGACTTTGAGGGTGTGAAGTTTTGACCATTGCTTGTGATCAGACAGGTGACCCATGGTTCCACCACGCTACCCTCTGTAGCCCCCCTCCCCCTTAAATTCCCCTGTCCGAGAAGGAATATATCCTAGATGGAATTTTTTTCGTGCTCCTTTGCAATTCAGGGTCTCCAGTATCTTGAGCCTTTTTTCACTGGAGTCGGGAAAATCAAAGTGAACAATTTTTATGCCATCCTCGAATCATATCTGAAGGCCCTACAAGTTTGAAACAACCAGGCTTAGAATATTAGATATTTGATATTTGATGATGAGTGAGTACAGAAAATAAGCAGATAACCATTACTTTTATGGCCTTTGTGTTTGCCTCTCCATTAAGAAGCCAGTCTCTTCTTGGAGACAGGAAATTTTGTCTCTTGTCTTTTTTATCATTGTAAAGGCTGAGGCTGGGTAGGAAATCTTGAGCGGATTTTCTTTTTGAACATATATATACTGTGTACTAGAATAAGTGACCATGTAAGAGTACTTATCAGTAATTCACCTCTTGCTGTAAAGAAATTCGGGAGCATGGGGAGTTTAAAAATAGATCCACAGTTTAGATATTATTATCATAATATATAAACACACATGGACATCTTTGCTTGTGTTACCTCTATGTTCTGTTATCACTTATGTCTAGGCTACCTTGTTGTGCCATCTCTGCTTTCTTTATTCCTTCTTTTTTCTTGACTAACCACTGGGTCAAGGGCTCTGCTCTGCCTTTGAAGTGACAATTTGTGTTTGGTTTGGCAATGGACTCATAAATATGATAAAGAAAAGCAAGGCATGAAAAAGGAAAAGTATTACATGTGCTTGAACTACTGCTTACATGTAGGTGGTTGGTGGGTGCTCTGGTGGGGTTTGCTCCTTCTTTCCGATTAAACTTATGTCGTCCTTATCTTCCCTCCTTCTTTTTTGTGTATGTTACTCTCTTGCAACATGTAATCTATTCTTCGACACTTATGTGACCTTATTGTGTTGCAATTGCCGTAAAACTCTTACTAAAACTAAACTGCTTGCATGTTTGAAAAAAACATTAGAGATAGTGATTATAAGCACTTTCTGTCAGTGGATCTCATGCAAGTGTTTGAATGTAATTTCATTTTATTTTCTCATCTATTCTTAATCAATCTCTAAAGTAGTTATCACAGGATGAAAGTGGGTGGTTGGCGGATGGGTGCTCTGGTGTGTTTTGCTCCTTCTTTCCTATCAAACAACTATCATCTTTATCTCTCCTCCTTCTTTTTTATGTTTGTTACTCTCTTGTAACACCTCTAATCTTCGGCACTTATATGACCTTATTGTTTTGCAAGTGCCGTAAAACTCTTACTAAAAAAACAAAAAAATACCCCAGGATGAATGAGCTTTGATAAAATTTGTTGGTTGTTACTTTGTATGCTCTATTTTTGCACATTATCTGATTTCTCTGTATTTGTGTCAAGTTAAACGTGCAACTGTTTGAATAAGGTGAGAAATGGTAATGTTACTGTTTTAAAAAATCTCAACGGAGAAATGGGGAAAAAATTGTGTTTTATTGAGTGGGGTAAGTCACGGGTTGCTGGTATGTTTAGTTATTGTTTTGTTTTTGTCAGAGGTTTCCCTTTTTGGCTTCAGGTATTTGAGCCGTCTTGAATTCTGAGCTGAACTCAATAATGAGGGTGTTCCCGCTCAAGATTGTGAGTGGCGATGTTGTCTTCTATTATCTCTCTCCTATTTTGTCGCATGTGCTTAATGCTATGTTTTGTTGTTGTGAATTAACATTTTGATATTTTCTGTTGTTGTGAATCAACACTGTGAACAAGGTTGGGATACAAGTTAGATTTATATACAGGGTTCCCACTCAACTGGGAAAACGGGGAAAAGCTGGGAATTTCATTTTCAGATTTCCCACAAGAAGGGAAAACACTGAAAATGAATGAAAACAGTAATATACAAGAGAAAGCCGGGAAGTCAAAGGGCTGCCCATAATTGGTCGCTTTTAAGGACAAGTGGGCATACCCAGATTTTTGCGGGTTTCCAGAAATTTTGACCTACACTAAAAGTGGGCATTGACATACCTATAGGAAAAGTTTCGTTTCATTGGTATGTATATTTGTTTGGTTTCCAGAAATTTAGACTTACACTAAAAGTGGGCATTGACATACCTATAGGAAAAGTTTCGTTTCATTGGTATGTATATTTGTTTGGTAGAAAACTCTCCTTGTTTTTTAAAGGAATTGAACCAGGAGCAAAAACTTTACCTTCGATTTTCTCAAAACAGCATTTTCTGGGATAGCCCCCTTGCGCTTAAAGGCGAACAATTATGAATTTGGCGGAATCATTAAGATTTTAAAACTTTTTAAACTACACGTCACGTGCAGCTAACCTTAACACCCTCTGTGCACAGAGCCCTTGTAGTCGCCCAATAACACTTGGCCCTTAGAAAAACATTAGTAAGTAGTAAGGCCAACTTTAGTTTGACAATTTGTTAGAAAAATTCTTGCGCCTATGCGTTGTGGGTGGCAGCCTAGACCAATGAGAGAATTTTAAACCAAAGAAAAGCTCCAAAAAACTATCAAATTTGAAGCTTGAAACAATCAGCTGCGATGCAGGCACGGTGTGTTGTGCAGTGATGTACAGTTAAGATCAGCAAAGGCTTGTGATGCGTACTGTCGGTTAAAAATTTTTTCATTATTGCTTTTGCAAGAGTCAAACCAAGAGCCAAAAAAACCCTGAATCCCCGCCCCCTCTTTTTTTCTAACTTGACTGTGGAGATGTCTTTCATCACACCTTTGTAATTTGTTTATGGTAGTTTCTTTAGGCCATTCCCAAAGGGGGGACATTTTTTGTTCCAGCACAGTAGAATTGTAAATGGGCTGATTCATCATGTCACGCTCATAACTGTGCCTGATCTGCAACAGGGAACTGCTGCTTTTTCTTTCCTAACCCTTACTATTGTCATTTTTCCTCTACTTCTTTTGTATGTTTGTCACACTCTTGTGACCCGCTATTTCCGGGGTGCCTTGATATAGTCGAAGCAGACCTTGTGCTGTTGAAGCTGGAGAGGTGAGCAGAGTAAGTCCGATTCCCTGTAAGAACTTCTCTGTTGACACCCACCCCTTGGCGCTCATATGACCGTATGCAGTTGCGAGCGCTGTAAAACCCTCTACTAAAAAAAAAATTAAAAATTTGTTTATGTAACGGTTATACTGCTTATTCTGTAACCCTTGTCCTTGACACTGACAGCACCTCACGGAAAGGGACTGTCCATGACTATATTACAATTTTTGTCTTGCATTAATTTCTGTTCATTTCCTCTTCCTAGCTCTCATCTTTAAAAAAAAATCACTTTGAAAATGGTTACAACATCTGGGGAAAAACTGGGATTTTTTTTCTCCTTGATGAGTGGGAACCCTGTATATACTTTCTTTCCTTATGATTCTTTATGAAAATCTGTGGGCATCTCAGAAAAAAAGGCAAATATGTTAACTGAGAATACTTGTAAACTGCTAGAAAAATATATTTTCTCTTTACTTCATCTGTGCTTTCACTGTTTTAGGCAGTAACTTCTTCAGCTCTTTTATTATAACGCCTTGTGCATACATACATATTTTACCTTTTGCTAATTCTAAATGTAAGTAAACTCCTACTTTTTGTTTATGTGTGATTTTCTTTGCAACAACAGTAACAAAATCTAAATCGGTTACTTTTTCTATCATTTTCCACATATTTTTTCAAGTACCACTATTCTCTTCATGGCTTTCTCACTTTCTGTTGTGTGTCCATTTAATCCTTCTCCTGCACTTAAGTTTTACTATTTTTAACTGGTTTCATTAACCATGCCTTAAGATCCTCCATTCACATGGCTGTTTGATAGTCAGAGGTCTTTACGTTTGCAGTGGTTGGGAGTTGTTGATTCATAACATAGGATTTGGCAGCAATACTGATACTGAGGCATAACTGTGGGGCTTGTTTTTGAGAGATGTTCATTTGTTTGGTAGAATAACAGGTGCATTCAGCAAACAAATAATTTTCATAAGTGTTTTCAGACTGAGGGTGTGCTGATAGCTCAGTTGGTATCATGTTGGACTATGGTGTGGGTAAGGTTGGTTTGAGTCCCCAATGAGGCATTTTAAGCGCGAGTTGTTTGAAAATTCCTGAAGGCTCCCCACCCATTGACTCCATAGTGCGGAGGTGGATTTTGAATCTGGATTTGCTATCTGTTAATAGCCTTACAATATTTGAAAGGCGTTTAAAACTCATCTTATACCAATGTTTGTCTGAATAAGATGGACTCTTATCTTTCATTTATGATTGAAGCTATGACTGACAAATTGAAGGGTTGAGAACTTCACATGAGTCTGTTGCTGGATTTGTGTGTGTGCAAGGTGTTCTTAGTTTCTCTCCCTTTAACAATACCTTTACTGCCATTTCTATTGTGCTTTTTTAATCAACTTTTGTTTCTGAACTACTGATCGTCTTGTCATCATCTTCACTTCTTTCCTAAAGAGATGGTTATGGGAACACCATCAGTTCTGTCCATATCACATGACTGCTATCACTTAACTACATGCATGCAAGAGGCTGCAGACTGCATTCAACTTTAAAAAAAACATAATGTCTATGCGAAGGGTATGATTTAGTTAAGCGTATTTCTCATTACCCTGTATGAAGGCCCAGGATTGAAAGGGTTATGGGCATGTCAGAAAACTCATTTTTTTTGTATAATTCTTCTGTCTTTTTTCACCTGTATGAAATTTATACTGATGTACTCGTTATTTGCTGAAATATGTATTTGTGTGTGTGTGTATGTGTGGGTGTGTGAGTCTGTCTGTCTGTCTGTCTGTCTGTCTGTCTGTCTGTCTGTCTGTCTGTCTGTCTGCCAGTCTGTTTATATCAGTCTGTGTGGGTGTGTGTGTGTGTGTCATTGAAACCCCTGAAGTGTTTTCAAAGACTTTGTAGTAAAGAATACCTTGCTCAGTGTTTTAGTTGCCTGTGATGATGTCGTGTCAGTTTTTCTGTTTTTGTGCTGGTGGATGGTGTGTGCTGACTTACTGCCTTTTTATTTGCTTATGGCAAAGATGGCAGTTATTGCATTGACTCGCTCTAGTGGGAACTTTGGAATTTTCACTTGAACTCTAAGAAGCTGTGTTCCTTCAGTTATTTCATTTATTTAATGAATATGCTCTATGTTTGTCCATCTGGTTACCTTATTATGTGTTTAGTATATATATGGTAGAGAATGTGTGTGGTTGGCGGGTACACTGATGTGGGTACTCAAACATCTATCATCCTTATCTCTCCTTTTTTTTGGTGTTTGTTACTCTCTTGTAACACCTCTAATCTTCTACACTTATTTGACCTTTTTGTGTAGCAATTCCTGTAAAATGTTTACTAAAACAAAAAAGGGGAAGAGAGTCGGTGAATGAGTCATACAAGGAGAAATGGAGAAATACAGAGTATGGATTGTTTTTTGTGCCACATACGCTTTTGAATGCACGCTTTTTATTTGTTACTCAGAAGGGTCATTGAGCTATATTCTATTTTGTCTTGTTTCTATTTTGTCAGGTCTGTACGGGTCTAATGAGGAGGAGGCTGCCTATATTGACATGATAACTGAGGGTATTGAGGACTTGAGAGTGAAATATGTGACTATGATCTACAAGAACTATGTAAGGATGTCTGATGAGTTATATCATGGACATAATGGTTGCTTTTATTAGAACATATATGTAAGGGGTCAGGAGGTTTGATTTGGCAACAATTAAGTGTGCCTCTTGAAGAGGGAAGCTAAACATACATGTCATATTTATATCACATGATTGGTTTGATTTTAATTGGCTTTTTGTTACGTTGTGTTATAACAAATTTCTGAAAAGGGTGGAGAAAAAAAGCATGACCATTTATAAAATGTAATCTTTTTTATTACTTGGGTACTTACTTATTGAAAATGGTTTCTTTTGGCATCTCTTCATAATATAGTCTACAAATAAAGCTTAAATCCGAGGAGCTTGAACTTGAACTCTGTCTTTGTTTTTTTTGTTTTTTTAAGCCATGTTTGAGTCATACTGTACCAGAAACTGGACTACAGGTGTTTTTACTTTGCATTTGTGTACACCCTGAGCCTTTGCATCTAGCAATTGTGTAAAATATGTCAGTACATGTTTAAGTGGTTTAACCGTGCTGCCCTTTCTCCTTTGACACAAATGTTGGTGTGTAAGTCAAAGTGATGTGAAGAATACAATGTGGAACCAAAGATGCATGTAGTCCCTGTTTAGTGAATTAATATAAGCCTAAGTATTATTCAACTCCATTTTTGGTAATTTTCGTTTTGTTTTGCTCTTTGAATTTCCCTACTGTTTTGATGTCCTTTTCAGGAAAATGGCAAAGAACCATATGTGGCTGATCTGCCTAAACAGTTGCTGCCGTTTGAGGTTTGTACAAATTGTATTAAATTTGCTAAAATGCATACATTTTCCTGCAGGAGACTGACATCTGCAAACGAATTTCGGCCGAGTGCTTAAATCTCAGGACTGATCAGTCATTCATTTTGTACGATATGCCATTTTCCCTACAATTATGAAAAAAGGGATGTAACCACATGTTAGTTGCTTCATTTTAAGAGATGATGAATCAATTGATCATTTATCCCCCTTCATTAACAGCTGTTTGGTGGTCGCCTTTTTTTAGGATACCATAGTCGACTATGGATGAGTTGATGTCAGTGGGGGAGTGAATAAAATCCCAACTCATCTGAAGTTCAACGTAACGATCAGGGCTACAAAATCAAGAGACACAACGAAATCTTTTCCAGTGCTCATATTTTAATTTTAACACTGTAGTAATAGTAAAAATGGCGACGACAGGAAGAATATTAGTTATATCTAATTAATACAGTTGAAGAACTTGCCATGACGGCCACCAGTATAAAACGGCCACCTGTACAAACGGCCACTTTCCATTTCCCTTTTTGCATTTTTTCTTAATTATTTAACTGTAAAACAGTTACCTGTTCAACGCAGCCGCAGCCACCTTATTTTATCAACCCACTGTCAAATTTATCTGCCTCAGGCGGCCAGGCGTGGTCACTCATTGCCCGACGCTTTGTCATAAATTTTGAATCGGCCCCTCACACTGTGGACTGGCTGTCATAATCCGTTCACCTGATGTTATTGTTAGTCCCTCCAATGAATGTTTACCCTAGTTAACCAATGGGTAACAACAAATTTTCAACTCCTGGTGAGGGAAGTGTGTGATCTGTCACGACCTGTACGCCACGCCCTCAACCCATGCTCAAATCGTATGTGAGGTGACTGGTCACTGTTTTGTTGACCTAATCTGTAACAAAGTAACAATGGACGTTGACGTGAACTTGTGACAGAAGTGTTGCTCGTTCTCTGAGTAGTGGCGGCCTCTGTGTTTGTTTTACTACGGCACTGGTCTTTGTCCCACATTCATTTATTCTACCCTTGCACAAACTCGGCAACAAGCTTACCAAAAAACAAAACAACAAAAAACCCCAAACTTTCTTACATCACCCACCCCCTTTTTCAAAAGAAAACAAACACCCTTTTGAACTCGCCTTACGGCAGTCCAAAGCCTGAGATCGACCCCGGTTTGGACCTCAGCAGAGAATGGTTTGCCTTCTTCATTTTGATCAGTCCTGCCTAAGATGGCCACCTGTGTTATACGGCCACTTTTCTCCTTGACAATGGGTGGCCGTTTTACACAGGTTTGACTGTATGTGTAAGAGAGAGGAGGGGAGGGGAGATGGAAGTGTCCACTGGCAGCAAAACTAACAATAGGCTTGCTAACATAACATGAACAAATTAAGTTGTATTATTGAGTACGATATTTCAATCCCCTTTATTCAGTGTGTACAAACGTACTTCTTTGCTATGGTACTTTTATTCAGTGCCGAAACAAGTCTCTTTCATGGTGCCATGACTGATTACACACTATACTTTAAACACACATACTATCTTCTTAACTCACATTAGCCTGAGCTATTTTTCACCCAACAACTATTGCAGCCTGACAGCTTTGGGGTATATTGAATCGTTGACCACAAAAAGACTGAAAGCTATCGTCATTTTTAAAATGCAACAATAGAAAGACAGAAATTCTCTCACAGAAAGAGAAAACGACATGTAATTTGTCCGAATAGTTTGTATTTTACCAATATTTTGGAATGGCAATGTCTAGGGGTTACGCAATTTTTTTAACACCCAATTTATGATAAAATCATCTAGCGCAATACGCGGGTAACTGGCTTCATCTATTACAGCTAAAAAAAGTATCGCACATAATTTCACCAATTCATTAATGAAACGAAACAAGTGGGTCAACTGTTGGCTCACCGCTTCCTGTAGCTTGTAACTGAAAAACACCGGAGATATCGATTGATAAAGCACATCCTGTAAATACATGGGTTTCGGCAGCTGGGCTGGCGGCTCATCTCATAGTAAATACACGGGAATAGGCTCAAGTACGTTAATGCTTAATGCTTAACCTGAACAAAAAGAGTTTTAATAAAGACAAACCCAACAACTTATCCTGTTGGTGTGGAGTGGGGGTTTTACTAACAACTTACTTGGGGAAATATTTAGTGTTCCTACCTATAAAAGCTGGGGACAGGTTGCATTTGATATACTCCAAAGAAATTTCTATTGGCATTTTTCTGACATTTCTTTCGTTCTTTTGTACTTTCTAGAAACTTGTGACCAAGCATGGTGATGATAAATCTGGTTTCTCTGTTGGAAACAAGGTGAGAGAGAATTATGGTTTTTTTTAAAAGAATTTGTTTTCTATTCAATCAGTCTGTCTAAATCAATGTTTGTTTTCTGATGGCTTAGAATAGCTCGGATATGTGTCACTCTTTCTTGTAATGTTGTTTTGTTTTATTTACTTTTCTGTTCAATGGGTATCCTGTAAAATAGGCAAACCTACTCCAATCACCACCTGTCCAAGACAATCATCTGTACAAATAACTACTTCCCACTTCCCTCTTTGCAGGTTTTTAAAATGTTATAACGACACTTTCTATGAGGTTTCTAATCAACACTGAATGTCTGTCTTGGACAGGTTCAAACATCTTTCATCTTTATCTCCCCTACTTCTATTTTGTGTTTGTTACTCTCTTGTAACACCTCTATTCCTTGGCATTTACATAACCTTATTGTGTTGCAAGTGCCGTAAAGCACTTACTAAAACTAAAGGACAGGTTCGACTGTAGTAGCCCTAATGGTTTCAAACTTGCTAGGTTCAAATACACATGCCTAAAACTGAAAATTAGGAGTTCCTCAAATTGAGGTCTCAGTCATAGCTTTTTTTCTTTGTTTTATATTTTTTAACTTTCATGTTATCAATGGTTTCGTGTCACTGCTTTGGCAGATGGAGAGTTTATCCTGTTGCGGGATGATGTTGCGACCAACAGATATTAAAAGAAGTAGAAGCATGACTTGCCTTACACTTACAGTTGCTACTTTAGAACATATATATATATATATATATATATATATACCGTCGAACCTGCCTTAACGGAAACCTGTATAAAACGGAAACCTATCTTTACGGAATCTCCCCACTCCCCCCTTGATATATTCCTCTTTAATTACCTGTATAAAACGGAAACCTGTCCGACGCGGAAACAGAAAGAAAAATCCGCTCCCTTCCGAGGGTTTCACCTGTCCAAGACGAAAAATGTTTTGCCTGCTCAGCCCTGATTTGAAACAAAACTCGCAAGTTTGGTTCCGCCGGCTCTAAACTTAATTCAATGGCCATGCCGCTAGGAGAGGAAGGGGAGTAGTGGTGCAATTTGGGGGTAGATGTTACCCAAGGAGGTTTTGATGTTACCCCATCATGTGAGCCCTGAGAGATGCAGATGGTCAGGGTGGTGTGGGTGTGAAATCTCACGACTGCCCATGAGAGTGCTCCAGTAGCGAGCCATTACGGAAACTTTCCTGGGTAGCCAGAGGTGTGAAATTAGTTTCACCAATGCCTGCCGCCTGGATTGTACGGCCAGCTGAGAAAAGAGTTCCTCGAATCTTTGTTACATGATGGCAGTGAGGGGTGGCATTGGTTGACTGTGCTTATGACACCGATGGGTGGGGCTAAGGGTGGAAGCAAAGGAGATGTTCAAATGTTGCTGTTTTTAATAGGTCAAACAGTGGTCCTATGAAAGGCAGGCACTGGTGGTAATTGGCTAAGTAAGAGTGACACATGTCAGTATCAGACAGGATAGCTGTTGAGAGGTGTGAAGTTTGACCACTGCTTTGCTGATCGGACAAGCGATCCTTGATCCCAGCGGCTGGGCCTTTGAATCCCCCCCTAAATTCCCCTGTTTATGACGGAAAATGTCTGAGACGGAATTTTTTTCTTGCTCCCTTGTGATTCCGTCTTACACTGTTTGACTGTATATATATGTGTGTCACAATGCAGTGGAATCAGGCACTTGTCAATTTTTGGGCATGTGAAGTTATTGGTTCACCTTAAAGCTTGAACATTTGCCTTGTTTTCGATGAAAAAATATCCATTTATCTTGAATACATGTCGAGATATTTGCGATAGAAGGAGGTGGGGGTCGCTGGGTTTCAAAGGTAAAATATGCGAGAAAATGGCTTCCAAAATTTGGTTATTTACATAGCATGAGAGTCCGTGGAAACTGATAATTTACATTTTTTGTGCCTTTATTCAACGTTTTTCCGTAAAACCCACACAGAAATGGGTTATTAAATATATATAAAGGGTGTTAAGCCCAAATAAAAAATTTTGATAAAAATTGCCAAACTGGCAGAAAAATGCCAATTTGTTCAATTTGATTATATTGACGAGCACCTGATTTCTCCACGCTGCCTCACATATATTAAATATATATATATATATATATATATATATATATATATATTTATATATTTATATATTTATATAGATATAGGTTTGGTTACTGCTTTGCTGTTTTGAGGTGGAAATGAATACATTTTAGTTTCAGTTGACATTTCCTTAGTACAAAATGAATCATGACACTTATATTACAGAAGAATTGGAATACGGGGCCCCTGACAAGCTGGGCATTACCAATGCTGGACTGTGTGTTTTAACAAAAACTGTTTTGACTTTTTTGTCTTGACGTTAGAGACAAAGATTTAAAACTGATTAGAATTATGAGGGTTTATATATATATTTTTTTTTCAATGTCCGCAGCGGTCTTTTGTTGACTATGCCCTGTTTGATCTCCTTGACATCAACGTGGTGCTGGCCCCCAACTGTCTGGACGACTTCCCGGCTTTGAGCGCCTTCTACAAGGCCATTTTGAACCGCCCTGGTATTGCAGCCTACAGGGAGACTGAAGCCTTCAAGGAGAGAACCATTAATGGAAATGGAAAACAATAAAAATAGCTACATAGTTAAATGCTTGGTGGTAGTTAGGCGTTTCTCTTTTGAAGGGAAGCCCTAAGTGGCCATTGTTACCAGATTTGTGCTATATATAAGAGAAATTTGTTTCTCAATCCAAGGGCAAATATTATGTTTCTCATTTGTTGTTGAATCTATTTTTTTTTCTTTCATCTCATTTTCAAGTATGAAATGGAAATATGGTTAAGAATATAAAGTATGGCTGTTACTACATTCACTATGCTCCTTTTTTTTTTGATACATCAATATTTTAAATCTATGAAGGTTTCAGTGCCGCATTTATATTGATGCCACTTGTTGGGATTTCCCAAACTTGAGTTGTTGAGCCTGTTTTAGCAACTAGCTCAAGATGATTTATGTCTAGAGATTTTACTCTGTGAATATAGATCATCAATTTTGTTGTATGGTGCTAGACTACAGAGCAAATGGCTAAGGTACAAATCTCCACAGGAGCATTCTTGAATTGTCCATTTTCAAGGGAGTTTTCAAGGCCCTTCACCTGCTCAGCTGTTTGAGAGGGATATTAAATTCAGGGCTCCTTTCAGAGACTTTGCCTTTTAGATAGAAGCTTTCAGCTGTTTCTTATATTCTGAGTTGTGTTTACATTGTTTTTACTTAATTAATGTGCTGATATTTTTACTCTTTTAAAATATTAAACTTGATCTAATAATTACCTTGGTCTGAGATTTCTTTGGTTTAATAATATACTGTGGAAACCTGATATAAAATAACAGGGATGGTGGGACCAGACAAAAAGTCCTGTTATATCAGATCCCTGTTTAATCAGAAATGTTAGGGAAGTAAGCACTTGTGGACAAATCCAGCTGCATTTATTCACAAACAGGGGTTTTGGACTAGGTAATAATTATTCAGTGATGCCATTTTTCCGCTTTTTTACTGTATTTCCGGTATTTTAATCCTGATCCGCTATTCCGTTATTGAGATCAAGATAGAATCTATAGTTGGAAAAAAACAAAAAAACCCACACACATGTTAAACATCTAATCTATTTTTCTTTATGTTTGTCATTTCTTTCTATGTACACCCATTGCTTTTGTTTGTTTGTCATATTTCTCTATGTACACCCATTGTTTATGTTTGTTTGTCATTTCTCTCTGAGACTGGCGCGTCGATTTTCAGCTAATGTATTATCAAAAAAGTTGAGTGGCATCCCTGATTATTGCATGCTTGGGGTTTGTTTTTGTTTTTGTTTTGTCTGATTTTTAAAAATCGAAATGTGCAGCACTCGGTAGCCCTCTCTTGCTTCACCCACTGCGTTTGCTTGCAGTGCAGTGGCCTGGCTTGCGTGGACTTGCTCCATCACTGCGTTACTCCCTCTCTCTTTCTTCCCCTCTCTCTCTTAGTTTTACTTTTTACACATTGGTAACAAGCCTTTGTCCCTGCTATAACCGATTGGGCTCTGATGGAGCCCTGTTATTGCTGATAACTTTTAATAGAGACAAAGAGTTGGAAAAAACAGGGATTTTAAAAATTCCTGTTATTACCGGATCCCTGTTATTACCGTGCCTGTTATATATAATATATGGTTTTCACTGTATTTAATATTAATATTAACTGATAAGACTATGACCTCATACAGTTGTCTGGTTTAGAAACAGAGTGGACATACACTTCATACAATACACGCACGCTTCATACACATAGTGTGTGCATTTTTTACCTCCACCGATCCACAGAGACTAATTTACCAAACCCCTGGGGTTTGAACCCAGGTTAAGAACCACTGTTTAAGATTGAAGTCTGGGTGATGGGGAAATGTTTGTTTAGTGCCACAGTTTGAGAAAATATTTTGTGCAATTTCTCTATTGCAAGTGAGCTCCCCTTGCTACAGTTGTTAACATTGGTCAACAGAGATTTTTGCCACCGAACTTTTGGTTTTCTGGTAGCTGATTTCAAATCTGAAAACTGTTTCCCCCACCATAGCAAGCGACAAAGCAACAGAATGATCCTTTCCCCTTTAATACTCGTCACAGAAAGCTAGTTCTTGCAAATATCATGAGCACTTACAGGAGTTGAAGATTGTAATAGAGTTCACTTGATGGTCCTAAAATCGACAAGAGTAGGCTTTGGGCGCCACACGGGCCAAATTCTAAATGAATTTTTGCCAAAACTGACTCTAGTCAGTATAAAAACATACAGAGTATCTTCGAAATCGTAATGTGGCTGCTTGAACGCAAGGGACCCTGTTAAGTAGGAATAACAACAGTCACATACGTAAAAATAAATCTCATTGGAGGTTGAACGACCTGCTGTCATCAACTACCCATGAGACCTGGCATGGGTACTCAAAGAAGACAAAGAAGAAGAAAAGCACTGAAAAGAGTATAGACAGTTTTTGTCTCCACTGTACAATTTACCTGGCGGTAGGCTTGTTGCGCAGTTAGACTACAACAGCGACGATAAGTAAAAGATCTAAATCTTACTTTGATTTTGATGAAAATAAAATAAAACAAACTCGGATAAGTTGTTTTTGGACAGGTGGAGGAAATCATGAAGCACAGTAGATTAGATAATTGGTCACATGGAAAAAGAAATCAGTGGAGTCCGCTTAACTTAAAGTGAACACGCTTTATTTGAACATTGGTTAAAGTGAACGATATTCTGTAGTCCCGATTGAAACGCTATCGTGGATAAAATGAACCGGTTTCTTGGGAAAATCGGATAAAGTGAACTCCCAAAATGAGTGAAAACGAAGAATGGACCGATCATGTCACTGTCGCCATGCTGTAGAAATATATAACGTTCTTTGCCTCCGGCATTGGCAGACAATCCCAGCTTGGCGTGAAAGAGCTCTAGCTCAGGCTCGTCCGCTGTGTGGTTCCTCCCTCCCCACCTCCACCCTAGACCCACCACTGCGTGTAGCTACTGTTTCTAGGCCTCCACCCTACCAAAATGGTTAAACTGAACCTCGGATAAAGTGAACACTTTCTTCTGGTCCCAAAGAGCTCACTTTATGCGGACTCCACTGTACATCAGACCATGCACCAACTAACTCTTCTTTGCATTTTAAGAATTGCAAGATGTCGTCATGCGAAAGAATAGAGAAAATCTGGGTTTGAGTAAAGAGATACAACAATGGTTTCATAGTCCAGGAACGAAGCATATTATTAATTGATACTCGTAGACAGAAACAACAGGGAAAGTGGAAGTACAACACTCACAAACCCTAGAAGAAAAATCGCGTTCAGGAAATCTTACATTTTTATTTCATGTGGTAAGAAAAAAACTCAACACTTTCTCAGTTCACTGAGATCACAATTAGTATTAAACTGTATACACGACGCCATATACTTGAAGTAACATTTTTGTGGTGGTTTCAGTGCTCGAAGCCAAAAGCATAGCATAAAACGTTCATGTGAAAGAAAGATCAACGTTTGCACAGATCCTTTCTCAAACAAAGCGAACCAAACAAGCTCTCAGAGCAATAGAACAGGGCGACATCTCCTTCAAACCTGATGCAATATCATAACATTCATTTGGGGGGGGGGGGGGGGGGGGGGGGATAAAGTGCACCCAAGAAAGAGCGTAAAAAAAAATTGCCAATCAATCATTAGGCCCACGTCCACGTTGGGCAACACTGTAGCTTCACCTTCCAACGTTCTGTGGTGATCAGCCTTGCTCACTTCAACAGCCAGTTCGTCTTTGCTTGTGTTAAGTATTTCATGACTACTTGTACTTGAAGAAGTGGTGAAATAAAGTGTTTAAGCAGTGAGGCACTTTATTGATTAATTTATCTGATGTGTAACGACGGCCCAGTATCAAGGTGTTTACGTCAACGGTCAATAAACGCTAGATTTTGTGGGGGAGAAAAATTCCATTTTCGAGACTTGTGATTTTCTGCAAATGAGTCGACAAAGAACGATTGTCTACCTGAATATTTTTTTTGCACATGTTTCAGAAAAGGTACGACGAGTTTTCAGTTTTCAAAGACGGATGATACAACACAAGATGTCATAAGCATCAGGATATAACAGACCGTGCGAGACCAGTTCGAACGTCAATGCAGCGAAAGTTGTGTGCAGAGGTGGACGACGATATATTTACTGTGAAATTAATGGGCATAATTTAAATATTTTAAAATATAAAGCCTGGCGTCTTTTATACACGTACACGTATGCTTCAAGCTATTACATTTTCACAGAAGGCCTTACTTGTTTCAGGTGTACTGTGCGTGCTGAGTAAATGATACATACATATTATAGTGAACCGCAGTATTCTTGTAGCGTAATGTGTGTGACTGTGGAGGTGTAGAAACAATAAGACGTGCTGGAAAAAAACAACAAATGCCGGTGGTATTCACATTTTGAAATGTGAACAAACTCACACTCAAACAAATTTATATAACCATGCAAAAGAGAAGCAGTTCTCTAGACTGTTTCAGTCTGTCGATCTGTCTGTCTCAGTGTCTGCCTCTCTCTCTCTCTCTCTCTCTCTCTCTCTCTCTCTCTCTCTCTCTCTCTCTCTCTCTCTCTCTCTCTCTCTCTCTCTCTCTCTCTCTCTCTCTCTCTCCCCTCCCTCTCGCTTTCTCCCCCCCTCTTTCTCTCCCTCTCTCTCTCTCTCTCTCTCTCTCTCTCTCTCTCTCTCTCTCTCTCTCTCTCTCTCTCTCTCTCTCTCTCTCTCCACCCTCTCCCACCTCTCTTTCTACCGGCGTCTGAGGTACACACACACACACACACACACACACACACACACACACACACACACACACTCACGCGCGAACACACACACACACACACACTCACGTGCGAACACACGAATAATTAAAAAATTATAATAGGGCCTATTTTTGTGCGCAGACATATACGCTTCTTGAGCATTGCACACATAATGTGAGCCCCACATGTTATAAATACAAATTATACGCTGTTCATGGAGCTCAAAGCATCAACGTTACATTGGAGTTGAAATACATGGCGCAGTGTATTGGATCTCCCATTCACGAATTTATGAGTGTGTTTAAATTTTGCTAGAACAATGCCTTTAATTCAAGTACATGTATTATTAGCTAAGAAAAACGTTTGAATGTGAAGTCAGTGGCAACCGGCAAAAAACATGTCAGCTTACACAGTTGAGTACACAAATGTACAGGCACAAAATAAAACGTTTCTTGACAACCATGACATAGCACTGGTCCTTATACCCTGCCCTTATTAAAGAGGGTGGTTGGCGGGCGCTCGGGTGTGCTTTGCTTCTTTTTTCCCCTTTCAATCATCTATTAATTACATCGTCCTTATAAGTTATACTCCTTTTCTTTGTATGTTATTTTATTCTCGAGTAACACCTCTTATCTTCAGCACTAATATGATCTATTTTTGTTGCACGTGCTGTAAAACTCTTCCTTAACCTTAAATAATCTGTCCTTTACTTCTGCTGTCAGTGGTCAAACAAATATTGGTCAAAAGGTAAACGAAACTCAAGTGTTTCCAACAACAAAGGAAGGGGAACATTTGTCCAGTTCGTTGTTCCAGTGTAATAAAGGGACGTTACCTGCCTCCTAAGTCAGCTAAATCGTGTTGATGGAAGCATAAAACATCTACATTTTGGCACCGCAGAGTCGGCATAATTTGCTGAAAAATGGGAGTCAATTCACTCACAAAGGGGCAGTCATAATATTAATAGTTTGCCCCGAGACTTTGTCGACCTCATCTAATAGTAATTGATACAATCAAAGAGTAGAAAGCAGGTCAGAGTCAGACGACAACGCCCGACAACCACCCACAGTTTTTCCCTGCAGACAGTTAAAAGATAAGACCGTAATTCACACGATAAAGCCCAAATTAATCAATGGATATTTATACATAC